CCAAGCGCGACGACGAGATCATCTGGCTCCGTGAGCTTCTTGCCGTCAGACACTCGGATCTGCAGGACATTATTGCTGCTCTCGGACGTGAAGATTACGACAAGAACACGGTCAAGGATGCGGCGATCCGTCTCAAGGCCAACCTCCAAATGGAGGAGCAGGAACGCGAAAGGGCACTCAATGGTGGTTCTGCCATCAACCTGCCCAACATTGCCGCCACCATTCGCGAAGCGGCTACTCCCCGCGTTGCCCAGGCTGTTGGTCCTTTGGCGGCCGCGTGGGGTAACTGGCGCAGGTCGAGAGATCCGTCGTTTGGTGCTGCCAGCAGTGTACAGTCGCCCACCGGGTCGACTAGTGGCAGCAGCACCACACCATCCAAGAGCGGCCCTACTGCGAGCGGCTTCCTCGGGGGTCTGTTGACACCTCCTGCCTCCAGTCTTAGACAGACGCCAACCGCCCCTCCAGTAAAGCAGCCGACTGCTTTCTCGAGCACCGGACGCCGCTTCACTGCCCAGGACCTTGCCAACCGACCTCTCGGGCCAGCTTCTGCCGCCGTGCAACAAGCGCAACTAGAGACGGCAGCTGCTGTCCCCGCTCTCCCCTCGGTGTTGAGCACCCCGCCCCGTCGCACCGTCTCTTCCGGACCAGTGACACCGCCGATGCGGGACAACGCCTACGACTCCGATGCGCAAGACTTTGACGATGCCGAATTTTATGAGGAATGAGCACGTCCTCAGGAACCAGCATCATCATCAGTCCGTGTCTCTAAGCCCACGTGGCTAAAATTATTATAACCCCCTGTCTCCTTTGTTTATTTTCTATTGTTTGTGTTGTCGTCAATCAAGATGGAGGAGGAGAGAGTTGTAGATAATGATGGATGGGAACGCGAGTTTTGGCATGAAACACACACCAATCAGCAACATGGTTTACATACACAAACACCCATTCACACACTGAGAGAAAAAAAAGAAAGCAAAAACTAGAATGATACCCCTTCCCCCTTTTATATATTTCTCTCACTACCAGATTGTTGTTGTTGTTGTTGTTTGAGAAAACTTTGGTAATTTTGGCTTTTTGTCGATAGTTGTTGTTTCTGAGGAGGAGGAAAGCAAAGTTCGGTTTTAATCAATTCACTGTCATTGTCTTTTTTTTTTTTAGTTGGCACCAGCAGCAAGTTTGGTTTTGGATGTATGATTCTGTATATTGCCTTCTCTTCTGTCTCCCTCCCCTTAAAAAAAAGGGTGAGCTTTTGAATGTTTGTGTTTGTTTTTTTGTTATGCATTTTTTGTTGTAAATTGAGAATGAAAGATAAGAATGGTCACATGTTGCGAGACGAATAGTTGCTGGCTTTGGCATTGGCGTTTTTGTTTTTTTTGTTTTGTTTAATTTTGTTGATAAAAGTACACCACCCAAAGAGCAGTTCTCTCAGACCTGATAGGGTTATTATAAAGGAAGGGAGCGCAGGGAGGGTTGAGGTTGAGGTTGGGGTTCGGGGGGAGGGGGACGGTGGTAGGGGATGTGTTGTTTTGTTAGTTGAGGTTGCTGTTTGTATATAGCATGGAAGAGCAGGCAGAGTAAAAAAGAAAAAATTGTTGTTTTTAAAACGTTGGAGTAGCCCACACGGTGATGTGAGATGGAGGAGGAAGGGGAGTCCTTGTTATAGAAAGGGGCAGGGTGGGGAAGACCCCTGATTATATGCAGCCCTATCGGAATATTCCGATGCAGGTTGGACAAAAGTGCCCCCTGAGAGACCCCATGATTTAGTGGGGAAGGTGATGTGGGGAGGTAAATACCTAATGGTGAGGGTATCGCCATTCACTGCCAAAACCACCTGTAGTTGCAAGCTGAAAATGGTGGTGTTCATCCCAAGTCCAAGTCTGGGCGTGATGTTATGATGTGTCAAAACTGTCGTTGTGCTACTAGCCTGCGACGCTGGGGCCGTAGAAGTGTCAGACCCCTTGAGGACGGTAGCTATTGGTGTTTCTTAAGTCTCAAGAAGCAATGGGGAGCACACAGAACTCTGTTTGTATATACAGTGGCAGACATACCTCTACGGCTATGAGGTATCACAGCCTGACGCCCAAAACGAACTGCTTATCTCTATCAAGCAAACAACAGCAATGGCATCAACAGAGACTCCGTCCTCTTCTTACGATTTGTTGCGGAACATGTTCATAACCCCTTCACTTTCCAGCTAGACTTCCTCGAGAAACTACTTACTAACGCCGTCGCACAAACAATTAGACGGTATATATCTCAACACAGAAAAGGAAAAGAAGCGCACCTTGTTCTGGCGGACTGTCTTCTGGTTCACGCTTTTGCGCCCTATCTACTACGCAATCATGATTCCGGTGTGGTTATGGAGGAAAGTACGAGAAAAACGACGCCAGGCGGTTGAAGATGGTGAAATCCGGGCGGTTATACCCCAAGAACAACAACCACGATCAAGACCCGGAGACGGTCAGGAACCTGCCCGCAGGTCCCAAAGCCGCACTGCTGTCTACCCAAAGCTCCGGGCCTCCCATAACCAAACCGTCATCACTGCGTTGGACTGTCGAGAACAAAAATGAAGAGGATGAGGAAGAAGAGGATCTCCGATCGAGTCAAGCTCTTCTTCGAAGCCGCGGAGGGTGAAACAGGCACGGGGCAGGCACTGTACTGGCGACAGAGCTTTACTGTAGTAGCAGCATTTAAGATCAATAACCGCTCAAGAGCCACGGCTTTATCATTCTAGTCATGGCAGGAGGAGCTCTTCTTCATGTTGCAACGAATCCGGCACGTGAGGTATTTGCCAAGAGCAAGTATGGCACGGAAACTTTGCAGATAGCTTGATCAAGGTAACCTGCTCTGCCCGCACTATATTTCCATACTTTACACGAACCCCCTTGTAAGATTCTCGCATGTGCAGATACCTCAACCTCTCACGCCTCACCGCCTCTGATGCGGAGCAAATTGATGGCGGTATACCTACTTCAAAAACCCCCCAACAAAGGCGCGCTCACATGAAGAGCCATGTAAACACGCTCACGAAAACCCAGGTTAGAACCTCTGCATGAGGGCATGGTGCTCCAGGTGCGGCGTTTGGTGGTCCATTGTTGTTGTGGTGGGTATCGTTGTTGTGATGATGATGGTGATGCCAGCCCGTGACCAACCTACCGACGAGGCTGGTTGCGTTGAGTGTCATCTTGAACAAGGCAGGACTTGTGCTGGCGTGTTCGAAGTTGGAGTTGGTGAAAAGATCGACGAGGGTCTTCTTGTAATAGAATCGCTTGGTATTCTACTGACCACCTGTCGTAAGTTGATTCAATGGGATCCTTGTTATGTTGAGCACAGTTGACTGTTAGCTATCATGCAACAGTGGGCAGAACACGTCTACGTTAAACCTGTGGGGAGACACTTGATCAGAACCCTGACGGCTAAAACATGAAAATTCAAGAAATTTTTGAGATGGAAGATTAGGGCAAGCTTCCTGACTTGGAAGAATCAGGGATGATGGTTTCAATCCGATGTTGACAAAGGTTGTCTTGGCATTCAGGGGATCATGGGCAGCTTGTGTTCCCGCCCACACGGCACAAGATAACACTGTCTGAGAGAACCCCGCCCGCTGTTTTGCTTCGCAAGGTTATCGAGCGCAAAACCTGGTCGACCAACCGTGGCAAATAATGGCCAGGTGGCTGTTGATGTTCATCGCCGCTGGAAACAAGCTTCACTTCAACTAGCTACCGATAACAAGAATCTAACTTTTTCCAGGATCGATATTACGGTAGACCAGAGAAAGCATATCGCACTGATAAACATACAGTACATCGAGGAAACAAGGGAATAATGGCGAGTGTAGTTATGACAACGGCGTCAAGCATAGCCAGTTTTATCGGTGTGCCTGCAAAATGCGAGGGGAGCTAGCCGTTGGTTTGACCCCCAGCAGATATCCTTTCGGGGCTTGATTGGGAGAGTTTACTTGCCGAATCTGGCTTTGATGAAAATAGCGGCGCCAAGGGTGAGGCAGATCCAAGAGAAAAGGAACCCGAGAATGAGAAACTTAGAGGCGGGCATGTCAAGTATGGTGTTCGATGTTTGGGTTGTATGGACATTGAGCGGCATCGGCGTTGAAACTGATGAAGTGGTCGTGGTGAGGGGTGGGCTTAATATGCTGAGGACTTCACTGGCCAGCTGCAGAGTCGTAGAAGTTACATCGCACATAGGTCAGTTTCAAGTTTGCCGCAATCAAGGTACCATAATACCGTGCTCAGGTGCTGTTGTCGAGAGGCCTTTTGGGACTCAAACTATTCAGATGAACAAAACGACTGGGGCCAAAGTTGCCCGCTCAGTGGTGATGCCAGTCAACTCAACCCTCCCAGTCAACTCAGCCCTCCCCACCCCCAACTCCAACCCTACCAGAATGATCAGCCCTTTTACAGAAGAAGACGTTTTCATGCTCATATCAGCATCCTCACCTGGTGGTGCCCCTGGGTATGCCTAAGCCTGTTCATATTCGCAACAGAGTGTACGTCGCCTCCACCACTTCCCACTTTTGCCAGGCAAACTAACTCACCCAACCTCCAGGGTCCTGCTTTTACTACACCATCCTCCCCCCGTTCTAGACCTTAATCCCCCGC